CTCGAGTCATCCTGGGAATAAATGATCTCAGATGAAGTCATGTTGTGGAGAAGGGTACAGCCAGAGTGAAGTTGTGATGAATGGTTTGAAAAACCGACAAGTTGAAGATTGAGACACTTATGCAGCATATGGGAATCTTTATTCAGGAAACGTTTCGCCACACAGTGGCTTCATCAGTCCAATACAAAGAGGAAGGCGTAAGGAGAGGAGGAGTATGAGGTAATCAGTCCCTCGGCCTGGAGTCGATGTGTTCAGTCCATCAATCCATCAAGATTGATGGACTGAACACATCGACTCCAGGCTGAGGGACTGATTACCTCATACTCCTCTCCTTACGCCTTCCTCTTTGTATTGGACTGATGAAGCCACTGTGTGGCGAAACGTTTCCTGAATAAAGATTCCCATATGCTGCATAAGTGTCTCAATCTTCAGAGTGAAGTTGCTGCTTTCTGCCAGTCTTGTGGTATAAAAGCTTGTTTCACGCTGTCCTCGAAGTGGATCCAAGTGTGGTATTTTGACAATATTGGCCTTGTACATAACAGTAAGGCCACCCACATCCCTCCTGTGTTGAAGGCTCTGCTTAGTTTTAATCTTAAATTAATTTTAAGCCTGCCAATAATGCTCTGCATACAAGGGGCTTTGGCATGTTGCACTTTAATAAATGTATTCCTGTGTACTTCTCTGTATCATGTTCAAATAAATAAATAAATAAATAAATAAATAAATAAATGAATAAATAAATAAAATCTATCCAGGATTGGTCCAGGCGAGAGACGTGACGTTCTCTCTCTCCTTTTTAATATGCCTGTGGAGAAATTTTCTCAATGAGGGGGGTATCAGCCCCCTTCAGCCCCTTTCAGCCCTGAGGGGCCCAGCCCTCTCAGAAGGGGCAAGCATCTTGTTTACTGCTACAGCAAGTAATTGATCCCAGATGCAGTACCAGTATGCGACGTGGTCAAGCGACCAAGGCTCTGTGCAAGACTTCAGTGTTGCAAAGTGTATTTTAATAAAAGACAGTCCATCTCTTACCTTAGCAGGACAATTAAGGAAAATCCTTCTCCCACTTTATCACCATGGTAAAGATAGTGGATATTGTTGTCTATGCTTAAGACAGCAAGATTCAAGCATTCTGCTTTGCTTCATGGAGAAAGTGGCAAGGAAGAAAAAATACTAGGTCAGCTTTTCCTTTATGTGCTAGGGGCAGTGACGGTGTATGAGGCTGTGGCGTCTTGAGATTACTTTTGACTCTACTGAGAGTCACACTGACGCCAGGATAACCAACAAAGAACACTGATCCATGCGTTAGTGTGAACAAAGTGTCTCACAAAACACAATAAACACTTAAGAGAAGTGTGATCAGCTTCTTCAGTGATAAGATTGTGAACAATAAAGACAAATCTTGTGGAACATAGTGTACCAGTGTGCGTATTCCTAGACTATGGAAGATGTGGACATCCAAGGGCACTTCAGCTTCTATCAATTCACCGATACCTGTCAAAGGTGTGAAGAACACCATAGCTCACGCTATAAGAGCAAGGTAGGTTACGAATTTCTTGTAGTACGGGGGACTGCGCAGTTCTTGCAGTTCTTGAGTCGCAAGGAGTTTGCAATCAACCTATAGTCGGCAGTGAGTTGCTGGCTTTTGAGTCCACACAAATAAGTTTGTCAGCAATCCGTGAATGAAATATGCTGACATAACACCCCCTAGGGGTAATTTATTGTTTACATAATATGATCTATTACAGTCCGTTGAGAGATGATCATGACAACAATTCAAGACCTCGTCTGCAGGGGCGGCTGTGTAGACGATTTGCTCTCTTTTATCAGCTAAGTATTCCCTATATTTAACTACATCTTAGCTGGAAAACCATTTCTCAACAGTGCCTACTCTCCACTATTGCTGTTAGTCTTGCTCAGAGTTTGTCAAATTTATTTTTCTGGTTGAGGGCATTTTTTTTTTTAATTTTTTGCTGAGTAAACTCAGGAGGGTTTTACATGTAGTGGGTCTGATATCAGTGAGACCCTGTATGTTGAGAAATGGTTTACCAGCTAAGGTTAAAAATAGGGAAAACTTAGCTTAGAAAGACAGCTCATCGCCTGCACAGCCGCCCCTGCAGACGAGGTCTTGAGAAGCTGCAACATCCATTTTACAACGGGCTGTAAATAAATATTAGGTTAATCATAAATTACCCCTAGGGGGTGTTATGTCAGCATATTTCATTCACTGATGACTGACGTATGTACTTGTGTGGACTTAAAAGTCCGCTTATCACCAAGGTTTATGATAAGTGACTAACTCGTAACTTCGACTCAACTGTGCAGTCAATAGTAGTACATCACGAGTTAGAACACTTACCTGGGTATATGAATCTGACCCGTAGTTATGCCCGGATATCCGTTGAGTTGATTGAAGAATAGTGTTCTTTGAAGAATGTCGCACTACACTCTGTTGGATCGCAACACTCGTTGTTACACTGTTCATCAACATTAGTTCATTTATTCACCATCTGTTTACTAGAGAAGTTGAACACTCTTCTCTGTAAGTGTTTATTGTGTTTTTGAGACACTTTGTACACACTAACACACGGATCAGTGTTCTTTGTTGGTTATTCCGGCATCAGTGTGACTCCCAGTAGGGTCAAAAGTAATCTGACGTCACAGCCTCCTACACCATCACTGCCCCTAGCACATAAAGGAAAAGCTGACCTAGTACTTTTTGCTTCCTTGCTAAACTTCCACTATAAAGCAAAGCAGAATGGTTGAATCTTGCTGTCTTAAGCATAGACAACAATGTACACTATCTTTACCATGGTAATAAAGTGGGAGCAGGATTTTCCTTAATTGTCCTGCTAAGGTAAGAGATGGACTGTCTTTTATTAAACTACACTTTGCAACACTGGACTGCAAGGAGCGTCGGTGACCTGACCACGTCGCATACTCGTACTGCATCTGGGATCAATTACTTGCTGTAGCAGTAAACAAGATGCTTGCCCCTTCTGAGATGCTGGGCCCCTCAGGGCTGGAAGGGACTGAAGGGGCTGATACCCCCCTCCTGGAGAAAATTTTTCCACACTGTAAGTGTGCTGGACCAGTGGGGCGGACCACTGGACCATGAGAACCACCAAGTGGCGCCATACAACTTGCTGTATCTCGCCAGAAATTTATTCAAAACCTCTTCTGTCACTTTTAATAACGAAAGGATTTTATAAGGTATCTTTGAGAGGTGGGGTTGTAGGAGGGGGTCGTAGGGTTACCCTTGACTGGTCACAACCTCCCTCGTGATCTACAGGAAGACTGTAGAACCATTTATTAGTATTACATCTCAATGTGACCTGTACCTTAAATATACAAATATACATTCAAGTTCAAATATATAATGAATATATTATTATGCACTTGATTATGTGTGTGTATACAAACACTAATCTCTGGTCGAAGGAGACTCGAACCTACGAACTTTGGGACAAGGTACACAGTGCTCTAACCACTGTACCACACTGGACCAATACCTTGGTGTCCAGCTAATGCTAGACGTTATGATCCAAGGCAGCCAGCATTCAGTTAGTTTAATACATTTATTATGCACCCCTTACCCATCCTGTGGGTGGTAATGAAAAGATTACAGAGGTACATAATGGGTCCAGGGACTGGACTCAAAAGCTTTGATAGCTGAATAAGGCACAAAGTTAATGAACTCACTAGTTACAAAGGTAATACATCATGTAAGTAAGTAAATTTACTTACTTACGTTTATACATGGCTACAATCATGAACAAATTATAGAGTAATGAGCAAGTCACACGTCCACACCCGGTCACAACGGTCAGCATTCAGGCAGGTGATGTTAGTTATTTCATTGCGACTGTACCTGAGTAAATACAATTATCAAAGCTTATTGCTTGGGTAGCATTTATTCTGTTAGTGGGTTGATTTGTGAAGAACCTGCCTAGTATGGGCCAACAGGCCTATTACAGTGTTCCTCCTTTCTTATGTTCATCCCTGCATGATCAAAACGCCTAGCGTTGGCTGGACGCCGACGTACCGGTCCAGTGTGGTACGGTGGTTAGAGCAGTGCATTCCTTGTCCTAAGGTTCGTAAGTTCGAGTCTGTTTCAACAAGAGATTAGTGTTTGTAAATATTTCGCCTGTTCTGCGAATTCTATATATATATATATATATATATATATATAATATATATATATGTATATATATTCTAATGCGAGTCAGCATGTATATTAAGTTAGCATGATGGAAATCATGACTTCGTTGGGAAATATTTTTAAGACAGTCTCCCACCGAGGTAGAGACACCAGAAATAGAAGAAACACCTTCACCATTATTCACCCATAATACATCATATTTCGGCTGCGGCTGTAATACATGGATATATATTACCACATTGCTGGCTTGTATTATCATAACTTCTTAGTATTAGTAAACTGATGCAACTTATTCCACGTTTGGAAGCGGGTGCGACCGTCACTAGCACGTACAGTTCCCGTTCAATACAGGTCGCTGTGTCCAAACAATACCTTTAGTGGCCCTCTGCACTGTTACCAGTCCTCAACAAACTATGTAGTTTGTTTTCTCCTTGTTTCTGACATTACAAAATACTCATTATGTCTCTTAGCAACCTCTCCATGGGCAGCCAAATTATTTTCTAGGGGAAGATTATATTTTTTTAATTCGTTGTTAGGTAAAATCGAGAAGTTTATAACTGTATATAGATCTGGTATCAACGTAATCATATACGTGTTCGGGCACCATCAACACCTCTGTAACTTACCATCACTCATCAGCAACTTATCTAACAGGTCTCGGATCACCGTTATAAACAACGGTATCTGTTGTTACATGTTAATAGGAAGGCAAATGGTATCGGGGAATCACCCAACTGTGATACCAGTTTTCAGGTCAGGCTTGATGGGTTGTTAAAGTGGCTTGAGGAAGGATATTAGAGATGTGACGACACATTGCAGCTGCAACACTGGCTTGTCCAGCATATAACCCACCAACACTAACGGCTTTCTGACAAACCTTACGTAACACCACGGAACACTATTTGTGTTACATATCGCCAGCACACAACACAACCACATCATCACCACCACAGTACAACGCATAACGAAAGTCTGTGATCGTCTTTCCCCAGGTAAGTCATCAAAATTCTTTGGACTTCGGCGCAGATTTTGATGTTTAGTCGTGTTTAAAAGTGTAAACATTGATTTAACCGTCAGAGAAAGTTAGTTTTAACTATTGTGGTTTATTTTTATTTCACGGCAGTTTAATAATTTATCAAACCCGACGAATTTTTAACTTTAACCCACGAATGTTAACTTTAACCCATAAATGATAACTTTATTCCACGAATGCTAACTTTATTCCACGAGTGTTAAACTTTAACCCACGAATGTTAAATTTCAACCCACGAATGTTCAGCTTTAACCCACGAATGTTCAGCTTTAACCCACGAATGTTCAGCTTTAACCCACGAATGTTCAGCTTTAACCCACGAATGTTCAGCTTTAACCCACGAATGTTCAGCTTTAACCCACGAATGTTCAGCTTTAACCCACTAATGTTCAACTTTAACCCACGAATGTTCAAGTTTAGCCCACGAATGTTCAACTTCAACCCACGAATGTTCAAGTTTAGCCCACGAATGTTCAAGTTTAACCCACGAATGTTCAACTTTAACCCACGAATGTTCAAGTTTAGCCCACGAATGTTCAACTTTAACCCACGAATGTTCAACTTTAACCCACGAATGTTCAACTTTAACCCACGAATGTTCAAGTTTAACCCACGAGTATCCCAAGAGTATTTAACTTCAACAAAAGTCTTGGATACGTAACTAAACAAAAGCAACATAAATTTAACTTTGACAAAAGCCTCGGATATTTAGGCTTACAGCAAGAGGGCTTGTCTGTCTGTCCCCTCCCTCACCCTGTGACTTGACTTGCCTGTCCCCTCCCTCACCCTGTGACTTACAACAAGACTTACCTGTCCCCTCGCTCACCCTGTGACTTCCAACAAGACTTGCCTGTCCCCTCCCTCACCCTGTGACGACTTGCCTGCCCCCTCTCTCACCCTGTGACTTGACTTGCCTGTCCCCTCCCTCACCCTGTGACTTACAACAAGACTTGCCTGTCCCCTCCCTCACCCTGTGACTTGACTTGCCTGTCCCCTCCCTCACCCTGTGACTTACAACAAGACTTACCTGTCCCCTCGCTCACCCTGTGACTTCCAACAAGACTTGCCTGTCCCCTCCCTCACCCTGTGACGACTTGCCTGCCCCCTCTCTCACCCTGTGACTTGACTTGCCTGTCCCCTCCCTCACCCTGTGACTTACAACAAGACTTTTCTGTGTATATAACATTGACAAACTCACAAATATCTAATTCTAACTCTATAGAATGTTTAACTTTAATAAAATACCATGGATGTTTAAAGAAGCTGCAATTATTTAATTATAGCCCATGAATATTGAACATTAACCCACGTTTAACAAAGTCTTTCACCAAACCCACCAATGTTTAACTTTTGCATAGATGGTGTTTTGTCAGTCAGGAAACTTTGAAGTTCCTCCTGACACGAGTCATCGTCAGATTTGAACACTTCAGTGGTAAACTATCCGCTGGCCGATGCGAGTACAAAGTGTACAGTGTTTCCAAGGGTACATTGTACACTGTACCCTCGGGATCATTGTAAAGATAATTTAATAACTAGCTATAAAGCTTTTATATAATTAGCTTTTTTGTAACTTATTGAAAGAAGTACATTTATAATTACACTTAAAGATGTTCACAGGACGAGTTGTTCAAGTGTGAGGTGAACTTTTCTCAAAATGCGTTCATTAAAAAATCTAAACTGCATAGAGGAGCTTTAAAAGAGAGGTTACTGTATCTAAAACTTTACATAGATTACCTGTTAAAAATCACACATGGACCCAGAAAGTTAAAAATTATATTCTGACCAAGAAAATAAACACTGCGGACTTAATATATTTTCACCCAAGGTAAGGAGAGGCTTTATTAATTCCTTTTAAAATTATATCTTTGCCCTTATAAGTTATATTATAATGGTAAGTGAGGTAAGGAGAGCTTTCAAGTGTTATTAACCATCTTATAAATTACTTTTAGTTAATTTGATATTATTTGCCATGTTTATATATGTATGAGTGATGAATTTTGGTACATTCTGACGTAGTTTTCTGTTGCAGGTTGAACCAGTTATGCCTAAAGGTGAGTCTGACGACACTCGACATACCAGCATCTTTCTACCTCACAATATTTTCATTCCACTTTTTCACCTTCTCTCTTACCCCCATTGTTTATTAACCTCCTGTCACCTTCCTTCTCCCCATTTGTTTACTAACATCTTTTCACCTGTTTACTAAAAGTTTCACCTTCCCTCCATTGTTTATACTTTGTAACATCTTTTCACCTTTATAAATTTTTCCATCTGCCTTTCTGAGTTTCTAAGACTTATAAAAACAGCTGCAGCTTACTGGCCCAAACTAAGCTGGTCCAACACACCGTGAGCTTAACTAATACTAATGTTGGGACCCATTCCCTGGATCTTAGTAATCTTACTAGCCACAGGATGGGTATGAGGTGTATAATATAGCTGGCACACTAAAATCGACAAATCTAAATGGAGTCTTACCAATGATGTAAATAGCTGACATATGACTTTACGTGAGCCTAGTCTGATTGGGTTGTTATTCAGTGGTAGTCACTCTCCACTCTGATGACCATCTACATATTAAGCACGTTATCTTTTTGATATATTGAGATGCTGGCTAGCGGTTCCATAAGCTCTTACCTTGTCCCCCCTCCCCCTCCTTTATTTTAGAAATTCTTGAAAATATTTCATGATCAGGGGATTCTATAGTTTTCAGTCCCTATTTCTTTCCTCTTTCCATTTTCCTTTCCAAACCTCTCCACCAGCCACAGGTCTTTCCTAACTCCTTTTCTCATGCTAGCATGCTAGAGTATTTTAATAGCTCTTTCATGCCAAACTAGTTTGCTAACTCTTCTCATGCCAGAGAACTTTTCCAGACAACTTTTCATCTGAATTGGTGTAGTTCGTGATTGTTTTCCTCACCTCTTTTATTTCAGGTCGCGTTGCTTCCCCTGGTGATCTGAGTGATGCAGGGTTCACGTCTGATGGCATCACAAAGGGCAGCCTGGCTGCCAACATGATGTCCAACTCCGACAGGTCGGCCTCCAGCAGAGGGGTCGTGCCCGGCATGCAGAGTGCTGGCGCCAGGGGGCAGACTTACACAGGTGGGTCTTTGTATAGTATTAGTAATACACATTAAAGCAGAAAGCAGTAAAAGACTTCAATAGAACTTAAGTTTTCAATATTTAAACATAGGATATAAAAAGTTGTCGCTCAGACCTCTCCAACACAATTGTCTTCAAAGATTTGTTAAGTTGTAGCATGAATTAAGGAAAGATCCTGGACTTCACCTTACGAAACAGACAAAGCAAATGTGATAGTAATTATGGACAATATAGATTATAGTGGGAAAATAAACATGATAATAGGAGATAAGGAAGCTCATTTGCCTCTTAACCCGCACCAGTAAAGAACATCCATCTCTACGTAAATGTGGTCGTCTGACTTTGCTTAACTTAACAGGAGAGAACACGACCCGGACCGCGCTGGACCACTCTGGGTTCGGTTCTGGTGGCATCCGGGGCAGCAGCGTCGGTTCCGGTGCCATGAGCAGCGCCGACAAGTCGGGGTCCGGGATGGGCGTGGTGTCGGCAAATCAGTCTATCGGCGCCAGGAAGTAGACAATAAAACACCTTAGGAGTAGGAACAGTTTAATTGAACACCTATAGGAGTGGAAACACCTGCACGAGGACTGACTGAACATCTCGACAAAATCCAGGTTTTTTTTTTTCACTAAAATGTTAATATATTTTTATTTAAAAAAAAATAAATTTTTTGGAAATGCCATGAATAAATTACAGTAATTTATTACGTTTATTCCTCATGACTTTGTTTATTCCATAAACTCTACACGTCTGACCCGTTCTAGGAAGGTCGTCTGGACGCACAGTGTTAAAGCACTCGTGCTGGTTTAGCGCTTTTTATGTGAGAAATGATACTAATGTGTGATAATGGTTTAAAGGCTTGAGGAATACCTCAGTGGGAGGAAGACCTTTGGTTATACGTAATAACCCAGGTGGGATACACAAGTAACCCCCACATGGTAGAATCAAACTTACGACGACGTTTCGGTCTGACTTGGACCGAAACGTCCTTATCGTAAGTGTGTGTGTGGGTTATCCGTGTATTGTTCCAATCACTTATACATTTTTAGTCGTCTAGGTGGGATTATCACCTCTATGTATCCAGAAAGTATATATTATTACATGAGGTTGACACTAGTATATACACCCTAGTATATACACTAGTATATACACCAGTATATACACCCTAAGATTTATGCCTGTATAGACATTCCAGGCGTCTAGACTCTAGAGGATCACGTCTCCAGTGAATATCCCAGTAAAACGATGCAATTATGTATATCAGTTTTTTGATCCCTAATTTAGATATTAGTGTTACCCGAGGGTATACAACCCATGGAATGATCGGCCTTAAAAAATTGTGTTGATCGAATCTCCTGAGGCTCCTTGATTCCCTCAAGGACGGTGCCTTGATGCTGGTGAAGGGCTCTTGATCTGGGGAACTGGGGCTGTCCTCCATTTCCCGGGATTCTGATTGCCTCTCTACCCCCCCCCCTCCCTCCGGGTACTGTATAACTACAAAAGGTTTAGCGCTTCCTCAAAAATACTATAATTTGAGTAAACAAACCACGGAACGGGTGGTGTTTAAACTCATGGCTAGCGAGTCTTAAAACTCCTGGTCAGTGGGTCATGTAAATCCTGAGTATTTGGAAAAATGAAACTGAATTCCGATGAATGCAGAGAATGAAGTGCATGATGTGACTTCACGGAAGAGAATGAAGAGAATTTTAGATTATATTTCATCAACGAAGTGGTTCATTTATTGTTCTGGTTATGTCCGCCCTGTGGAGGGCAGCGCAAGAACATAGGGATGCACAAAGAACCTGGGAACTAGGCCCCAAGAAAAGTTTAGAGGAGATTAGATTTTGCCACTGAAGTGGTTAGTTTATTGTGCACCCCATATCCATCCTGTGGACGGTAGCGCGAGAGTACATGGATACACAAAAGGTCCAGGAACTAGGCCCCAAAAGGGTTAACAGATGTACATATGGGTTTATATCTACAGTTCACTTATCTGTTACAAGCAAATTTAGGAAATTTGTTTAGTATATCTGATATCTTATTTTCATTAATAAGATATCTTGACATGTCACATAGGTTATTATACTGTCTGTCTCTGTATTCCTCAATAAGTGGACAATTAAGCACATAGTGTTCAAGAGAGTGACCATATGCCTGATCACATAATTTACATTTAGTTTGATCATCATCTGTGTGTCTCCCAAACTGCCAGAAGTACTTGTAACCAAGCCTAAGCCTGGCCACTACATCAGTCAGTACTTGTAACCAAGCCTAAGCCTGGCCACTACAACATCAGTCAGTACTTGTAACCAAGCCTAAGCCTGGCCACTACAACATCAGTCAGTACTTGTAACCAAGCCTAAGCCTGGCCACTACAACGTCAGTCAGTACTTGTAACCAAGCCTAAGCCTGGCCACTACAACATCAGTCAGTCTGTTCACATTGCAAGTTGCTCCATAAACATACTTATCTACGTTCATGTTATCATAGTGGGTTATAGATTTACTCAAACTTCTAACTGCATTCCTGTAACAATCATTTTTGTTATTTACTTCTCTCCTAATATTATTCCTAATGCTAGACACAGTTATACCAAAGTTATATTCTACGTTCTCCTTCTGGATACTACTCTTCTTGGCTAACATATCAACTTTATCATGAAGGAGTAATCCAATGTGTGATGGGATCCATAGCAATTGTACATTAATTCCTTTGTCCCTAATGTTTTAGTATCTACACCTGGCTTGTCCAATGAGCATGTTGTTGGAGTCATTATATGAGTCAAGAGCATTCAGTGATGACATAGAATCAGTAATGATGATAGAGTCAAGCTCAGTGTCATAAGTTAGCTTTAGCGCCATTAGGGTTGCAAACAATTCATTTTGCAATGTAGACGCCCAGTTGTTAATTCTTATGCATAACTCAAGAGGAGTACAAACAAATTTGGGATATTTTCTTTATATTTCTGTAATAAAGAGCAGAGAGAACTATAGGTTAATAGATGGCATGGCAAAGAAGAGAGAGGCGTGAACATGTGGGTGGAAAACGAACTAACGAATGTGTGGAGAGTTTGCAACGAAGCTATATATTGACCCAGATGGGTTTACCGCGTCACGTAAAAAGTACATGGAATATGTTCTGATTGCCTCCCAGTCAGTCTGCATTATCATACCCTGATTGAACATCCAATCCAACCCCCGCATCAGATTCACGAGCACTCAGTGTCGGTGGAAAAGAAAAATATCTATTCTAATTTAAATAATATACAAAATTCAAAATTTTAATGAATTTAAAACATATTTGGTTCGTGTTGTGTGTGTGGGTACTGAGTGGGTACCAGGGAGCGGTCCAGGGTGACGCTGGGCACCCCGTCAGTGAGGACGCTGGGCACCCCGTCAATGAGGATGCTGGGCACCCCGTCAGTGAAGATGCTGGGCACCCCGTCAGTGAGGATGCTGGGCACCCCGTCAGTGAGGATGCTGGTCCTCTCGGGGAAGGTGAGGAGAGGCGAGGCCCAGTCTATTTATGGCCAGCCAACCCTCGTTCTCTGGAACGTAGGTCCGGGCCTCCTCCTCTTCCCACTAGTGGGCCACCTGTCACTCCCACCGTGGAACGTAAACCCTGGCCTGTCACTCCCACCGTGGAACGTAAACCCTGGCCTGTCACTCCCACCGTGGAACGTAAACCCTGGCCTGTCACTCCCACCGTGGAACGTAAACCCTGGCCTGTCACTCCCACCGTGGAACGTAAACCCTGGCCTGTCACTCCCACCGTGGAACGTAAACCCTGGCCTGTCACTCCCACCGTGGAACGTAAACCCTCCCCTGTCACTCCCACCGTGGAACGTAAACCCTGGCCTGTCACTCCCACCGTGGAACGTAAACCTTGGCCTGTCCCTACCAATGTGGAACGTAAATCCACTGTGGAAGGTAAACCTTGGCCAGTCACTACAACTGTGGAAGGTAAACCATTGCCTGTCACTCCAACTGTAGAACGTAAGCCTTGGCCTGTTCCTCCCCCTGTGAAAAGTAAACCTTGGCCTGTCCTTCCCACTGTGAAACGTAAACCTTCGCCTGTTTCTCCCACTATGGAGCGCAAGCCTTGGCCTGCTCCTACCACTGTGGAACGTAAGCCTTGGCCTGTTCCTACTACTGTGGAACGTAAGCCTTCGCCTGTGATTCCCACTGTGGAACGTAAGCCTTGGCCTGTTCCTACCACTGTGGAACGTAAGCCTTCGCCTGTCACTCCCACTGTGGAACGTAAGCCTTGGCCTGTTCCTACTACTGTGGAACGTAAACCTTCGCCTGTCACTCCCACTGTGGAACGTAAGCCTTGGCCTGTTCCTACCACTGTGGAACGTAAACCTTCGCCTGTCACTCCCACTGTGGAACGTAAGCCTTGGCCTGTTCCTACTACTGTGGAACGTAAACCTTCGCCTGTCACTCCCACTGTGGAAAGTAAGCCTTGGCCTGTTCCTACCACTGTGGAACGTAAACCTTCGCCTGTCACTCCCACTGTGGAACGCAAACCCTGGCCTGTCACTCCCACTGTGGAACGTAAACCTTGGCCTGTCACTCCCACTGTGGAAAGTAAACTATTACCTGTCATACCGGAGGGAAAAGCGAGACCCGCCCCGGTGGTCCTCCCACCTGTGACCCCACGACCATACACACCAGTGACACTCACCGCCCCAGACTACCACCCGGGTCGAGGCACCGTAGAATACAACCTTCGCCGGCAGACTGAGCTAGAAGGTGGTGAGAGCAGCCTCAACTACGCTAACTCCCAGCGAGTGGCTGTCATGAGTTACAACACTACTCACTGGAGCCCTCCACCTCTACCATACTCCATGGAGTCACCTCCTCCACCTTTTGTCCTGGAGACTACTTACCCAGCCCCGGATACCGCTTCCAAGTTAGACGTGGGAGAGGAGTTCTGATGAATAGAGGAGAAAACCAGTCCACATGGGTTTAGCACATCGCATTTTGATTTATTATCTTGCAGATTTTTTTTCACTTATTATGCTCCGTTTTATAAGAGCGTGAGAATGGAAAAAACCAGGACCCGAATGGAAATAGGTCACTTTGGCAGACTTTTATGGGGGGGGGGGGATATCCTAAATTATCATACATATGCTGCTATGTATGATACTTTTAAGTAACTGTATTTATGTGTACCTGAATAAATTTACTTAATACTGCAGCAGAACTGGTGACCAGTTGCTAGGCTGGTCGGTGTTTGTTACCTTCCATGACTGTCTGTGCGGCCAGTTTATTGTGCTTCCATGATCATCCTGCGAGCGGTAAGTTTATTAGACACAGTTACACATAAGTACAATTATCATACATAGTGTAAATTACCTAGGATAACCCACAAAGGTCAGACAAAGTGACGTATAATAACAAACAGACAAATGAATAAGCACCACCTTCTCTTAGCTGGATCGCATCCTGGGGGACAAGATTAAGGACCCCAATGGAAATAAGTTAGACAGTCCTCGATGACGCACTGACTTTCTTGGGTTATCCTGGGTGGCTAACCCTCCGGGGTTAAAAATCCGAACGAAATCTTATCTTATCAACCTTGGCCTACCAGATAATCAGTCTGTAACTGATTTCATCAATAATATGAACAACATACTTCTTATACCGACAATAACTAAACCAACCAGGCTCACTGAGACAAGTACAACCATAATTGACCATATATTGACCA